GGTGATGCCACAACGAGTGAACATAAAATTGGTCAAGGGAATGAAATATTTTGATTAATTCTACTGCGACCAAACAGAAGGCCACACCACCTGGGTTTCATACCTTCATACCTTCTAGCCTTCACTTGTTACTTTGATAAATTATAACTCTGTCCTGATGATGGCACCTCTCGCTGACGATGCCAGCTAATCGTTTAAGAATGACACCAAGAATACTATGGTGGATGACACAGGGCTATGCATGTTCCACAAGGTCTCTTTGACGCTCCGACTAAGTTGCTTAAACGAGGTCGAACCAACGTACTTTCTTGGTATTCATATCTATAATCCATTTACATAATTAGTTTAGCCGAATGTGTGCAGATCAAGATTCTATGGCCTTTACTATTTTCGTCTCCTTTCGTTGTATATAAGTGGTTTAGCCTCATTTTTGAAAATTGAATCAACACTCTTCCAGCATTATGGGGGGATACAGAAACCAGCAGAGACTTTGAATATGTTTCACTAGACCTGCTCACAATATCAGATACCAGCGACACTAATTTTAACGAGTCAGAGATTGTGATTGTGAAGCCGGCTATGGTGGATGTATCGGGACAGGAGAAATACCCCAGCTGTTCAGCAGTCAGGTAGTTAAAGAGTGGATTTTATTTGTCTCTGACGCATTGTATTGCGTTGCTAAGACTGGCAAGGCTCATTGATGATATCAATACTATGACTGAAATACCCCCTAATAATAGGATTAATTAGCTAGAAGGTATGAAGCCCAGGTGGTGTGGCCTTCTGTTTGGTCGCAGTAGAATTAATCAAAATATTTCATTCACTTATTAGATCTAACTAGTTCCAAGAGCGCACTGCTCAAGTATCTATAATTTTGGGATGTTTACCCTTCAAAGCAAAATTTATTTACTATTTAAAATTCATTATAAAACGCATTATTGATCTTTTTATTAGCATTTCAAAAATCCTTTGTTCATTAAATAATAAGCTAACTTTTTTCAAAGGTATGAGGACCAAGATGGTGTGGCCTTTTGTGTAGTCGCAGTCTCCTTTATTTTTTAACTTTTTATAACTTTTATAACTTTTTTCTTATTAATATTTTAATACATGGTTGTAAGGGGCTGTTTAATTTATTTTCACCTTTATTTTGTATATTTAATGCGAGACCTTTATTGCTTTTGCTATTTTAAAAACGTATTCTCCACACTACTACTATTGAATTTTAATATTTGTTGCGATCATAAAAGGGAAAACTTTGGCAAACTGCCTCACCAAATCAGATTGGATTTATTACTTTTATGTCATTTTATAACTTAAGAAGATATTTTTATTTATAAAGTTACCTAGCTGTTAGGGCTTGTTTTGATTTATCGATCAAGACAATGCTTATAGCATTGTATTAGGATCAACTTCCACAAAACTATCATGTGCGCCTACGAAATCTCATTTTTGTATTTAGTGGGATAGGTTTTATGTTATTTAGATAGTATTAAATGTATAATAATAGCATAATAGCACGTATCTTTTCATTTTTATACATTTTATTTTGTTATTTAGCAAATCCTTGTATAGAAAGAAATCAATTTCATTGCCGAACAACTAATGCACAGAGCCAAGATTTACCTAGTAAATGCATCCCATTTGAAGAGGTGTGTGATGGAAAGCGCGATTGTCTAAACGGCGATGATGAAGCTGAAGGTCCTCGATCTAATTGCACTTTAATGAAATGCTCTGAAGATAATGGAGGTTGTGATCAAGTAAGTTGCTGATTAATTAAAGATATGAAGACCAAGATAGTGTGGCCTTTTGTGTGGTCTCAATTTCCTTTCGTTGTATAGAAGTTGTTTAACCTTGTTTTCGCAACTTGTTCATATTGGTAGGAAGACTGAGAAATACACACCTAATTTGGGGTCTTTTGTATGCATGATCATTTCCAAAGTCTGACCGTGCATGTGGTACATTCCCAGACGTTTCGCCGGCATCTTCAGTGAGCATCGCCATTCTTAGCACCACACAACAACTCGTCAAGGAGACAAGTGAAGCCGATCCTTTGACCAAACGTGTGCTAAAGAGTTGCGATATCTCCCCTTCTGCCATGGGCTATTCAGATTTCATATATCCTCCTATCACGCCTTCATTGTCACAATTTTTTACCGTCACTATTTAAATGTAGTGTGGTGTGCTCCTTTGAGCGGTATTCATGAAAACCCTTCATACTCCACACTGTCGTTCTCACCCCCTTCACCCTTGTGCTTGGAAGGTTGATCAGAGTCTGCCATATTGTCACGCACTCCTCATTCCCTATGTCTTATCAGTCTCCCTCTTGCCCCGTATAATCCGTCTGCTCTCTGCCTGGTTCACGTATCTTACTCGACCCCTGCCATCCCATCTGTGCTACTCGAGGCATTATTACCTTTCCCCTGCCTCTGGGTGATAATTCGAGGCTAAAGACTCTGAGTAGGTCTCATTGTCAAGCCTTTGCTTGTATAAGAGAACAACTATCAGCCAATTAGCTCCAGTCTCCGCCGCATCCTTCCTGTTTTTGTCTATGACTTGCTTTGCCCTAGTCTCTTGTGTGCTAATCCACAAATGTTG